AAGCAGAAGACACTAACAGAGCTATACTTCGCGGACTAAAAGCTCGCTTAGCTCGAGCCAAATGATTGTGGGTAGACGAACTGCCTAGTGTACTCTGGGCATACCAGACTACCATTAAGATTGCCATAGGTGAGACTCCCTTTAAACTCACTTAGGCATATCGGACTACCATCAAAACTGCCACAGGTGAGACTCCCTTTAAACTCACTTACGGCATAGAAACGGTGATCCCAGTAGATACACTATGCTTGGAGGCCTACGACGAAGAGATGAATGATGATGAGCTCCGTACTAACCTAGACCTGGTGTAAGAAGTATGAGACCTGGCATACATTCGGACTCCAGCTTACCAATAGAGAGTAGCTCGGTACTATTACGCCCGGGTCAAGAAGCGACACTTCCGCATCAGCGACCTGGTTCTTCGGAAGGTTATGGTACCTAAGCCCGGTGTCGGTAAGCTCGGACCAAATTGGGAAGGTCCATACCGAATAAGACGAGTATGGGAAGGTACGTACGAGCTCGAGACTCTGAAAGGGAAGCAAGTACCTCGAGCATGGAACATCAGCAACCTAAAAAGATATTACTTGTGATCACCGAACTGGAGAGAGGACTACAAGCACTCCCAGGGGTCCAAGGGCCATGACGCCAAGCTGACATAAGACCTCGACACTACGATAAGTCCCAGTCGCCTCTTCGGCATGGGCAGATAAGTCYCAGTCGACTCTTCAGCATGGGCGGATAAGTCCCAGTTGCATCTTCGACATGGGCGGATAAGTCCTAGTCGCCTCTTCGGCATAGGCAGATAAGTCCTAGTCGCCTCTTTAGAATAGGAAAATTGGTTTTCATACCCAAGGCATAGACAGCTCGGGTAAAAGCCCTACAACGTCTAGTCCACCTCGGCATATAACAACAGGTTGATCCCATTTGAGGTCAGGCCCGATGTCTCGACAATAAGGGATAACCGACACCTAAGCAAGAAGCCTGTGCGCAGACAGGTCGGGTATATACCCTACAATGTCCACCCACCTCGGTGTACAATAATGCGAAGTTACCCCTACTCGGAGTCCAGCTCGTTAGCTCAAAAGTTTGGGGTAACCAACACTTGGAAAAAATCTACTTCGGTTATCCCTACTCGTAGTCCAGCCCGTTAGCTTGACAGTTCGGGGCAACCAACACTGACATTTTTGCTCCTATGTTGTTTAGTTTGCCAGTTCGGGAGTTGTTTATACTTAGAAAGTTTTGCACAGAGATAGTCAAGATGCTTACATTTCATTGATGTAAAGTTTGAGAAAAAAAAATCCACTATGAACCGAACTCGGAGGCTCGAGGTATACATCATAAAGGATCAAGGAGAGGCTTCTAGTCATCTCGTGGCTCCTCACCCTTGTCGGAGGCTTTGGTAGGAAGATCCGTCTTCATGCAGCTCTCACCAACACCGGTCTCACCATTGGTAGGAAGATCCGTCTTCGGAGTCCAGATCTTTAGCAGCTTCGGCGGCCATTTCCTTTGTGATCCTCGAGGTAGTTATGGCACTAAGATCGAGTTGGGGGAACTCACGTTGGGTCAGCCACCTACTAAGCTCGAAGCCTCTGCGGTAGCTCGCCGTCCCCACCTTGACCATCTCCCTCCGGTACTCCGCCGAAGTCTTGTACTCCTCGATGGCCTTAACCTTGGCCTCCTCCACTACTTGAAGGAGTATCTCAGTCTGCTCCTTTGCATGAGCCTCAAGGTTCTCCACCTCCCTCTTCAGTGCTGCCTCCCGCTCCGCGAGCTCCTTCTTCTCGGACATCAACAGCGTGATCAGCTCTTTCTTAGCCTGTGCGTCCTTCTTCAGTTGGTTATTATCGTTGCGAGCTAAGTTCAGCTCGATATGGGCCTTACGGGAAGACTCCTCGGCTGCAAGGGCCCACTTCATGTTCACCTTGGACTGATAAGCCAAGGCGTGGATGGCGGAGTTCACTTGCCAAGAGAAGAAAACAAGCATCAGTACATGAAAAGCTAAGTACAAGATCGAAGGAGAAGATAAGTCAGAAAACTTACCACCATGCAATGGGTAGCCGCTCGAGCTCCGAGCTGAGCAACCGGCAGTTCGGCCTAGCTAGCAACCTCCTCGGCATACACTGCGCTTTTGCTCTTGAGGAGGCCATATTTCGGAGTCAGAATGCTCTGAGCTGCGTCATCACTGCCTGAAGAAGCGACAGCTGCAAGGGCGGTCTCCGAAGACGTCGCCTCCTCGAGCGTGCGGGGCGGGGAGAGCTTACCAGATTCCTCCTCAACCATGTCTATCATAGGAGGTTGCTCGGCAATAGATGGCTGCTCGGGCTCTGGAACGGCAGCTGGCGGGGACTCAACGCGAGCTCTTTTTGAAGCTCGCTTCTTCTTCCCCTTCTTCATACTCCCGAAGAGTTCAGTCGCGGGGATGTCCATGATAGCTGCAACAAAAACAAAYTGTTAGAAACAGTACCGAAATAAAACAAAGGAAACACAATAAACAGTGACCTACCAGGACTCAGGCCGGTCTACACGAGCTTCTCCTCAGTCACAAAGTCTACGAACTTTAAGCCGAGCTCCACCCAAGATCTGAGTGCCTCCCTTGTCTTCAGGTCCAACTAGACACCAGGGTCCTGGATGGCTGCCCTCCAATGGGTTGGGAAAGGCCACCCCTCAGTGTTACGGACCACAAAGTAACGCCTTTTCCAGGCCGGGACCTTGTTCAGGAGCTCGTGCAAGAGTTTGTAGCCCGGACGTGGTGACAGGTAGTAAGTTCGCCTGTGCTCGGG